AACTGGTTCCAAAATTTACTGGCTTAAAATAACAACAAACATTTCTTATCTCTCTCACAGTTTTGAGGATTGACTGGGCTCAGCCAGGATGTTCTTCTGCTCCACATGGTGTCTGCTAGGTTTCAGTCCTCAGGAGGCTCGACTGGGCTGGAATGTCCAAGATCATTTACTCACTTTTCTGGCAATTGTTGCTGGCTCTCTGCTGGGACCTCAACTGGAGCAACTCACTTCTCCATGTGGCCTCTCCACTTGGTTGGGCTTTTCATAACATGGCAACTGGATTCCAAGAGGGAGCATTGCAAGCACTTGAAAGCAGAAGCGGCAGATCTCTTAAGGTATAGCCTTGGTTCCATAGTAAAAAACTTCCACCACTTTCTGTTGGTTAAATCTACAGAGCCAGCTGACAATTGCTTTTTTTCTGGCAACATAAAATACATTGCCTCTTGATTTCCTGTCAGAGCTAAAATGCATCATGCAGATGACAATAAACACTCTACAAATGAAGAAAAGAGGATTTAAGGGGAGGAGTGGCAGAGAATTTGCAGCCTTCTTTAACTCACCACACCCATCATCTTGAATGTTGTTGTTAGGTGCTGTTGAGTGGATTCTGACTCACAGCGACCCCATGTAACAGAGGAGAACTGCCCCCATAGGGTTTTCTAAGCTGTAATCTTTACTGGAGCACATTGCCAGGTATTTCTCCTGCAGAGCCCTTGGTGGGTTTGAACTGCGAATAGCCAAGAGCTTAACCATTGCACCACCAGGGCTCCGTCTACAGACCCTACTGTTGTCTTAAAGCTTATAACTCATCTTGAATAAGACTTACGACTAACAAAATTATTCTTGTGTTATTTACTCAAAGTACTTGCCATATATGTACCAGACTGAAGGTTTCCGACACTTTCCAAATTTCTTGCAATGAAATGTGTACATTGGTAGGTTACAGTGGTGTGAATGCAAAGGATGGAAAGTACCGCATATCTGCAGGAGTCCCTCTTCTGCTCAATCTTAGATCATAAATTCCAAAGCTGTTAGGATCACTTTTGTCAGATAGCCCTTCTTTATCTCCTCCCCATTTATGGGAGATGCTCATCCCTTCACTCACCCTAGAGTGGGCCAGAGGGAGGGACACACTGCCTCTTTAATGGTTCACTGCAAAACAAACGCTGAACTCTATTTCTGCTTTTCACCTTTTTTCGTGAAAGTGAAAATCCTCTTCGGATTTCTTTTGATTATCAAAAACAGGTACTAATGTAGGTCATTCTTAAAAGCGAAGTGGCATAAAGTAATCTTTTGAAAAGTGGGGGATACCTTACTCAGGGAGCATCTACCATGTGCCCTTTGCAGAGTGACTCCAGTGAACAAAACATTGTCCCTGTCCCCATGGAATTTGGTGGAGGAAGGCAGACAATAAATCAACAAGCATTTAATATGGTAGATGGTGGCAAGTGTCATGAAGACAGAAAAGGCACAGTAAGGAGGATAGAGTGTTAGAGTGGGTGGGGTTATTTCACTTTAGGATGGTCTAGGAAGTCCTCTCTGATAAGACGAGTTTTGAGCAGAGACCTGAATAAAACAAGGACTATCTGGGCTGTCTAATATGCTCCACTGGTCCCAACCCGTCTGGGGGAAGGGACAATGAAGAAAAACAAAGATACAAGGGAAAGATTAGTCCAGAGGACTAATGGATGAGGAGTCCCTGGGTAGCACAATTGGTTAAGCACTTGGCTACTAACCAAAGGACTAATGGACCACAGCTACCATGGCCTCCACCAGACTGAGTCCAGCACAACTAGATGGCAGCCGGCTACCACCATCGACTGTTCTGACAGGGATCACAATAGAGGATTCCGGACAGAGCTGGAGAAAAATGTAGAAAAATCTAATTCACAAAAAAAGACCAGACTTACTGGCCTGACAGAGACTGGAGAAACCCCAAGAGTATGGCCCCCGGACACCCTTTTAACTCAGTACTGAAGTCACTCCTGAGGTTCACCTTTCAGCCAAAGATTAGACAGGCCCATAAAACAAAATGAGACTAAATGGGCACACCAGCCCAGGGGCAAGGAAGAGAAGGCAGGAGGGGACAGGAAAGCTGGTAATAGGGAACCCAAGGTCAAGAGGGGGAGAATGTTGGCATGTTGTGGGGTTGGCAACCAATGTCACAAAACAATATGTGTGTTAATTGTTTAATGAGAAACTAACTTGCTCTGTAAACCTTTATCTAAAGCACAATAATAATAATAAACAAGGACTATCTGGGGGAAAACTCTTGTAGGCAGACAAATGAGCATGTGCAAAACTCGTGAGGGAGGACCGTGCCTAGGGTGTTCAAAGAAAGGCAAGGAAGCCAAGGTAGCTGGAGACAAGTGGACAAGGGGGAAGTGGAAGGAAATAAGATCAAAGAGGTAGCTGGGGGCAGGTTGTGTAGGACCATGTAGGCCTCTGTGAAGACTTTGGTCTTTACTCTGAATAAGGTGGGAGCCATCAGAGGATTTTGACAGAGAGAGGTTTTCTGATTTTAGTTTTAAAGGACCCCCCAGGCTGCCATATAGAGAATAGATTGTGTGGGACCAATCAGCAGGGAAACTGGTTAGGAGGCTGTTGCAGTTCTCCAGGATAGAGAAGACAGCACCTTGGATTAAAGTGGTAGCAGTTGATGGAGAGAAGTAGTCAGATTCTGGATGTATCTGGAGGGAGAGCCAGCAGGATTTGCTGATGGATTGGATGTGAAATGTGAGAGAGAGGAAAAAAGAGTCACAGAGGACTCCAGTGTTTTTGGCCTGAAGAATGGAGTAGCTTTTTACTGAGATGGGGAAGATAATTCATGTAAAACACTTAGCATAGCTCTGGGCACAAAATGAGTGCTCAGTAAACATTAGCCAAGCAGCCCAGATGGCTCAGTGTTTACGTGTTTAGAACCCACCAGAGGCTCCATGGAAGAAAAGACCTGGCAATCTGCTTCCCTAAAGATTACAGCCTAGGAAACCCTATGGGCCAGTTCTACTCTGTCCTATAGGGTCTCTACGAGTCGAAATCAACGCAACTGCACACAACAACAAGCATTAGCTATTCTCGTATTGATGATTTTGGTTTCCTGAGATGTCATCTGAGGTTTTGAAAATGCTGAGCATACCTGGCAGTAATATCACAGCTTTCATACCTGAGTATGTACTGCATGCCAAGTATGTGATAGAATCTTTACTTAGCAGAACCACCCTGCAAAGTGTATGAAAGCTCTATGAGAAAATGGACATGTGTTGAATTTTTAAACATATACCAGGTACTGGACATTTTAAGGAGCCCTAGTGGTACAGTGGTGAAGAGCTTGGCTGCTAACCAAAAGGTCAGCAGCTCGAATCCACCAGCAGCTCCTTGGAAATCCTATGGGGCAGTTCTACTCTGTCCTATAGGGTCGCTATGAGTTGGAATTGACTTGACAGCAACAGGTTTTGTTTTTGGTTTCCGACATTTTAACTTTAATCGTCTGTAACCATCACCAGCATGTAAGCTGCAGAAGAGAAAGACCTTATAGCTCTTGGGTAGCACTGCACACTCCTGGCGTGTACTAGCCACCTTAGTATTTATTGAATGAAACTTCATTATAGATGAAGGTTGAATAACTTCCCAAGGTAGAGCTGGGTTTTAATAAATGTTGGATGAAGGCATGAATAAATAGATATTACATCCACATTATAGAGAAGTGGAAACCCAGCTGGTGGCAGATCAGGGATTTGAACCCGGGTTTTCCTGATCCCTGAGCTTGGGCTCTGTCCATGGCCACTCTGTGAGGCGTCATATGTGCTTTTGGCTGTGTTTAAGGATGCCTAGGGATTTGATGATACCGTTTATAACATGAAATGTGAAAACCCAGGCTACTCAGGGAAAGATCTAATGCTAGATCAGATTATGAGCTCTCATAATATGATCCTAAATTGTTGTCTCAGTGAAACTGCAAGACCTCAAAGCATTTGTTTAATTTAACTTGCCCAAGGTCACACAGGCTGTGAGGGAAGGAAACAAGGCTTCCCGCACTGGAGTCCTTGCCCGTTTCACTGCCCAGGGACTCTTACCCCGGTGCACAAGGACACACATTGTGTGCGAACCTGTGTTCACGCAGGTGCCAGCGCACTTTGCTGGGGAAAGAGTTCATAGCTTTCACCACATTCTTAAAGGAGCCTATGAGTTTAAAAAAGTTTACCTTCACTTTATCTTACGTATTTATTGTTTAACTTTCATATTTTAAACTCTTTTTGGATGAGTAGAAGAAAGAAAAAGGGAAGACGAAGGAAAAAAACTGAAGAGACAAAATATAACAGATGCCAGTTTTTGTTCCATAAACTTAAGGAAGAGAAGGCTAGCGTGACTAAGGAAGCCACAAATTGAATATGTTGATCCAGAATTAGAATCCAGATCTACTGGCACCAATTCCAGGGCTCTTTCTGGTTTCCATTCATTCATCAGTCATTCAGCAAATTTGCATGAGCGCCTGCTACGTGCTACGCACGATTCCAGGCTCTGGGAATGCTGCAGTGGCAAACTCTTGGCATCATAAAAGTTAGTGGGGGAGACAGACTAACAATGACGACGACGACGATGATCTCGGGTGCCATGAAAAAAACTACGCAGGGTCAGAGGATGGCGAGGAAGGGGTATGGCATTTTAGGTTGAGTAGTTTGTGCTCAGAGTCCCGAGTTGCTGTCCACGGACTCCAGCGGCCTCCCCAAGCCTTTCTTTTGCGCTTTCGCGCATTGCCAGAGTGGAGACACAAGAGAGAGGAAGAGCACACGCATGCGCACGAAGGAAAAGGCGAATCTTGAAGAAAGGCCCAGGGCGCACGCTCCCTCTAGCTCTGCGGCCCGAGGAGTTTGACAAGGATACAGTCGGCCCAGACGATAGTGCGCAAGCGCCACGGTTCCGGTTAATGGGGGTGAGAAGGCACCGCCCAATAGTAACTCCTTTTGAGGTTACGGTCCCGCCTCCCATCTTTCTGTTTCCGCTTCCGGCGCTACGGCGGTCCAGGTCCAAAATGGCGGTGGTGGTTGGGTCACGGGTCTCTGGGCTGCTGCTTCGGTCCCGGCCACAGCTAGGGCGGCCTATGGCGAGCAGCGCTCACGGCGAGGAGGGCTCAGGTACTGCGGATGGGGTCGGCGGGGCGGGTCTCAGCCCTCCTTGGGCGAGGCGGGGCGGAACCGTGACCTTGGCTTAAGGCCTTGGGGAGAGACGGCCGGGGCAAGCCACAAGTCCGGTTTGAGCGGTTGCGTCCTTCCCGCAGCTCGCATGTGGAAGACCCTCACCTACTTCGTCGCGCTCCCCGGGGTGGGATTAAGCATGCTGAACGTCTTCCTGAAATCGCACCACGGAGAGGAAGAGAGACCTGAGTTCATCGCCTACCCCCATCTCCGCATCAGGTCTAAGGTACGCCCTTGGAGACTGTTTTGAGTGTCCATTCATTTTTCGTTGCAGATGCCCTAGTCCAGATTCTTCATTTCCAAAGCCGTGGGTGCCAGGCACGTATCATTTCTCATTTACTCTTCACAAACAATTTTTTTTTTTGAAATTTTTGCGAAAATACACAGGGCGGAACATACACCCATTCAATCGTATCTACGTGTAAAATTCATTAACGTTACTTTCTTAACGTTGTGTCACCATCCTCGTTATCTCTACCCATATTGTTTCACCACCACTGAATTAGACTCAGTACCCCCGAAACTTCTCATCAGTGCTTTAAAGCTCCTGTTGTCAGTTTGATGTCATATAGATAATTCTTTAAAAGAGTGCGATGCTCATGGAGAACATTCTTTACTGATTTAGCTAAACTGTTGTTTAGTTTAAAGATGACTTCAGGAGATAATTTTGGTTCATGGTTTGAAGATTTTCTCACAGCAATAGATTTAGGGGTTCCTCCAGTCTCAGTAGGTGCAGTAAGTCTGGAGTCTGTAAGAATTTGAAAATCTGTTCCATGTGGTCTCCCCCTTTTGATCAGGATTCATCTATTGATTCCTTCATCAAAACGTTTGGTAATGGTAGCCAGGCATCATCCAGTTCTTCTGGTCTCATGATGAGGGAGGCAGTGGTTCATGCAGGCAGTTAGACCTGCAGTCCAGTTCCTTCTCTATCCTTGAGTTTCCTCCTTCCTTTGCTGCCCCAGGCTAATAGAGACCAATTGTTGTATCTTGTGTAGCCCCTTTCGAACTTTTAAGACCCCAGGCATTACTGATTGAACTAGGGAGTGGAACAGTAACTGTGAAAACAGTGTTAGACCGATTTACTGGAGAGTCCAGGGAAGCCATGACCCTGTACCTTTAAACCAACAGAACTAATTCCATGAGGTGACAAACAGACATTTTGTTTCATAAAACTCAACTTGGGAGTCACCTCTCAATTTTCTCTTCAGGGTCATACAGTAAGTGGTCTCCCTTTCAGTTTTCCTTTTCTCTGATTCACCCCACCTCCTGCCTTTTGATAATGTTCTGAGGCAGTTGTCGGTTGTATAAAACTTGGATATTTGGGAAGCCCCCTTAGAGTGGCAGAGTCTGAAGATAGTTCGCCTTTCTAGGACCTGGGCATCTGGCAGGTACTAGCTGCAGGTACTAACTGTTGCTGTGTTAACTTATAACGAAGAGAGTGACCACCTCCCCTATTCCCTACCCCTACGTTAGTTGCCTTCTCAACTATTTATCCTTTGGCTATTGATGTAGATACAGCTACTATAATAAATTATTAGAGTTTTTTTTTTTTTTTTTTTTTAAATAGCTACTACAACATCTTGCCCAGGTAGGACTAACCTCATAAAGACTTAGACTCTTAGACTAAAGAATTTCTGAGTTTTTGAGCCTCATTACTGTTGACATTTTGGGCTGGACAATTCTTGTAAGGAACCCTGGTGGCGCTTATGTGCTTATCTGCTACCGGTAAGGTTGGCGGTTCATACCCACCCAGCAGCTCCATAGGAGAAAGACTTGGCGACCTGCTTCCATAAAGATTACAGCCAAGAAAACCCTATGGGGCAGTTCTGCTCCATCACATGGGGTCGCTATGAGTCAGCATCGACTCGACAGCACCTAACAATTCTTGTTGTGAGGGGCTATCCTGTGCATTGTAGGATGTTTATCGGCATCCCTGTCCTCTCCTTCTACTCACTAGATGTAACTTGTTAGCTGCTGTTGAGTCAGGCCCCTAACCCATGACAACCCTATACAAAATAAGATTGGACCATTGTAATCTATATGGTTTTCCTTGGCTGATTTTTTTGGAAGTAGATCACTAGGTCTTTCTAGTCTGTGTTAGTCTGGAAGCTAGCAACGTGCAAACCTCCACTGACAGATGGGTGGTGGCTGCATTTAGGGTGCATTGACTTGGAATTAAACATGGGTCTTCTGCATGGAAAGTGAGAATTCTACTATTGAACCACCACTGCCTCCATAGATGTCAGTATGACCCATTGCCATCGAGTTGATTCTGACTCATAGCAATCCGGTCGGACAGAGTAGAACTGCCCCATAGGGTCTCCAAGGAGCGCCTGGTGGATTTGAACTGCTGACCTTTTGGTTAGCAGCTGAGCTCTTAACTACTGTGCCACCAGGACACAGATGTCAGTAGCACTCCCTAAAAAATGCCTCCAGACATTGCCCAGTGTCCCCTGAGGAAGCAAAATTGTTCCAGGTTGGAAATCACTGCCATCAAATGTAGCGTGTAAAATAGTCAAGAACAGAGAGTGAGCTGCAGTTTTTCCAATCTAGAGATTGTTTCAGGTCTGGGATGGATCCCCGAAAACTGCATTTAAATAAGCATCCTCCCTCACTCCCATCATTCTGATACAGGTGATTTGAGAATTGCACTTACATAAACACAGTACAAGATATACCGGGGAGAGACTTATGAGTAACTAACTTGAGCTTGCTTTTTCTGCTGTCTACTTTAAGGGCCCCCCGGTAGTTTTAAAGGAGTCCTGTTGGCACAGTGGTTAAGTGCTCGGCTGTTAACCAAAAGATCAGCCGTTGAACCCAGCAGCAGCTCCATGGGAGTAATATGTAGCATTCTGCTTCTATAAAGATTTACAGCCTTGGAAACCCTGTGGGGCCAGTTCTACTCTGTCCTTAGGGTCGCATGAGTCAGAACTGACTTGATGGTAACAGGTTTGATTTTGGCTTGGTAGTTGTAAGAGCGTCCTTAAATTGTGGGGAGGCTGAAATACGTCAGTAGCTTACGGACTGATTTCCATTTTGTTTTTACCTACTAAGCAATTTTAAGCAGCTCACCACTGTGCTGTTTCTGAACTCTTTTCTGGAATTGTCTTAATTGACATCTTCACTCCACAGCCCTTTCCCTGGGGAGATGGTAACCATACTCTGTTTCATAACCCTCATGTGAATCCGCTTCCAACTGGCTATGAAGATGACTAAAGAAAACCTGGACCACTGCTGGGGACCACAGCTTGGACCATTACTCTGCATGAGGACCAGAAAAGTGTACGGGACCTTAAGTTCACTTTCACTTGTATCAAATGATGACCAATACACTGATCTTCATCTGTTTGCTTGTGGCAGGAGATGGCTTAAATAAATAACTTAGTCATGACCTGAGAATTGAATTCTTTGTTGGTGTTCTTCCCTCAGAAGTTAGCATTAATGTGATTTCTCTTTCTGCATACTAAGGTCTACAGCTGCTGTTTACAGTGTTTCAGGTCCAGCTCAGCCCACTGAATGAGTGTTTACAACGGGCTTATTCTGGGTTTCTCGTGCCTGGGGTGGGTAGAGCAGTGAGGCTAATGAAGTATCTAGATTGGGTCTTGACAGACTTTGGATGGCAGAGACGTTGAGTGGCCAGCAGAATGGCTCCAGTTTACATCTGAAAGAGGTACCTGAGACTTTGAAGAGAAAGTGCTTCCTCCAGGTCTCAGCTTTGTTCTGTCCCATTCTACCAGCAATTGCTGAGAACACTGCTATAGCCAGACAATTTTCTCCTATCCTGTAGCTATAAGAATAGAGAGAGAGAAGCCTGAGAAGAATTCCTTATCAAAATTTAAAACCTATGAAGTAGCTGAGGTAGTTGGAGTCACTTTTTGGGGAGCATGAAGTCAAAAGAGGATAAGGAACAATTATTCAGAGAAAATGATTCCCTCAGTAGCAGTTTAACGTTACTCCTGTTGGCAAGACGTGGCTATAAAGCAGGGTAACTGGTATCAGTCTTTTTAGATTTAAAGTAATATAAATAGCGTTGGATAACCTGATGCTTGAGCATTGGAGTTACACTTCAGGGATTCTGAAATCTATTTTGGTAATTAATTAGACTATCGTTCCTACTCCCTGAAATTCAGCTGAAGAGGATTACTCAAGATAATTTCCTACAAATTTTTCCCAAAAGTCAGAGGTTCAGAAGTGAGTTTCTGGGCTAGCATATGCAGCTTACAGTGCAGCTTTCACATCAAGCAAACCTCTCAATACGACTTACAATAAAAGAATATGGCTGGCCTGGAGCTGGCTTATTCTTTTCAAAGTAAGGCTCAATTGGATAGTTCCGTAGAAAGGTTAAAGAGGCTACTCCGTATTGCATAATAACATACAATAAGCTGGTAATGCAAAGGTGAGGCATACAGAAACACAGGGTGTAAAAGCAACACTACAGTAAGAGGAAAAGAATCCCCAGTATCTTTGCCACCTGGTGATCTAACCCAGCCTACACTTCTGAGTCCCTATAGAGCTGGTGTGCTTGTGGTCAGTCTGAGTTCAGGACAGATGTATTTAACTTCAGCTTGCTGCCTAGCCTCCCTGGGCTGGATTCCAAATATCTTATAATCCTTATATAATGGAGTTTAACTATTCAGAACATATATAAATGAAAAATGTTTTAGATGACATTAAGGACTGATCCCATTAAATATGAAGTAATTGGTAAAGTGGGGAGAACATAATAGAAGTTAGGCCTTCTGTGAATCAAGTTTTAGAGTTTCATACAATCTTTGGGCAAATAATAAACTGAACCAAATTCAAGATACACAGTTGTAGGGGCTACACAGCATTCTAAAGTATGTAATTGTTCAATGGATCCTGACATTTTTTTATGCCACAATATAAATTTAAGAAGACATCTGTATAGCCTATTGGAGAAATACAGAGCTCTAGTGGTGCAGTGGCTAAGAGCTACGGCTGGTAACCAAAAAGCAGTTTCAATCCACCGGCTGCTCATTGGAAACCCTGTAGGGCAGTTCCACTCTGTTCTGTAGGGTCGCTATGAGTCGGAATTAACTCGACGGCAAAGGGTTTTTGGTTTTTTATTGCAGAAATAAGTTTTAGAAATCAGTAAAGTTTCAAATTGCTATACCATACAACCTAGCTTTAGCATATCTTTACTTTTCTTCACCTTTAAATTATAAAACATACAAAACTGTATCCAGTGTTTCTTTGGGATGTGGGGATACACGGTAATAGTTCCATGCACTGAAGTCAAAGGGCAAATAATCGAGAGAATGTTATGATTTATTCCATCTTCATGATTACAGACGTTAACAGGACAAGAGTGGTAAAGAAGGCAAATAAAGCAAACTTTTTTCCTCCCATTTAACTAGGTGCAGCATTTTAACATTTTTATGATATGCAGGTTGACTTAATTCATTGACTTGGGCTGGAAGCCAGCAACGGCAAATCTTTGCAACTTAGGATCTTCCTCCATAGTTACTCCAAGTATCTTAATTTCTGAACCACACTGTAAGCTTTGAGATGGTGTTCACTGCAACACCTGAAGCTTTCAAATCTTAAGGCAAGGTTGTAAGTTTGTTAAAAGCTGTCTTCCACTTGGCTAACCCAGGCTACCAGCAATCTTAACTGTTCAGTTACTATATAAAAATAAAACTATGCTCCCAAGTCAGGGTCCCTTTTCAGAGCATTAGCTTCCTGAGAGAAGTCCTATCCGATTGATTCCATGAACAATGACCCCACAACAGTATACCTAATATCCTTTGCAGCATAACTCAAGAGGCCAGGCAACCGTGACCATCCTGACTATTTTATCATTATTTACATATAAAGTATACTTAAAGCTGATCTCAGACTAAGTATTGCAGCCATAATCTCAAGAAATCATTTTTAGCATTCAGTTCCTCTAATGCCAGAGCAAGTGAGAAATCACCCTGAAGCAAGTGAGAGGAAAACATCAAGAAGGAAGAAATAAAACTCCTTCCTAAACTCATGAGATAGATGGCTTTCTTCACAGCCTTAATTGACAAAATTGAGAGTCTTCAATTTGCTGATTTGAGGAGTTCATTTTCAAGGTGACTGTCAAGGTCAAGAAGAGTTTTCAGGCTTTTCTTTGCCATGGCCCATGAACTCCAGTCCTTCGATAGGAATCTCCTTCTCCTTTATTGCTTACTGAACACACCGCCGATAGCGCTTAAAGAGGTTGGTGCACGGGTCCCCGGAGCCATCCCCCTTGAGGAACTTCTCGGCAAACCACCGATTGAAGCACTGGTCGTATCTGCGCTTCATGTCCTTGCATGTTTCCCAACGCTGTTCATCTCAAGTTTGTTTTTTTTAAAAATTGTGCTTTAGATGAAGGGTTACAGAGCAAATCAGTTTCTCATCAAACAATTAATACACATATTGTTTTGTGACATTGGGTTGCCAACCCTGAGACATGTCAACACTCTCCCCTTCTTGATGTTTGGTTCCCCATTTCCATTAGTCCAGCCTTCCTGTCCCCTCCTGCCTTCTTGTCCTTGACCCTGGGCTGGTGTGCCCATTTAGTCTCATATATATGGTTGAGCTACTTGTATTATTTTTTGTTTTATGGGACTGTCTAATCTTTGGCTGAAGGGTGAACCTCAGTAGTGACTTCAGTACTGAGTTAAAAGGGTGTCCAGGGGCCACACTCTTGTGGTTTCTCCAGTCTCTGTCAGACCAGTAAGTTTGGTCTTTTTTTGTGATTTTCAGTTTTGCTCTACATTTTTTTCCAGCTCTGTCCGGGACCCGC